TATATATATATATATATACCATAAATGTGGTATATCATGCTCAAGAAACCACAAAATAAAGGTAATTTAGTCAGCCTTCCCAAATGTTTAATTACCAATCTGTAGATTGAACATTGCGGAAATAATGTGAGATCTGGCACAAGTTAACAGCTTGTCAACAGTACTGACTGTTATTTAAAAAAGGCTTCCCTACAATAAAAGCAGACAGGGCAACCAGTGCTACTGAGCACAGTTCACTACCACAAAATGATTATGTTAATAACTATCTAGATAATTCATGCTACATGTAGTGTTCATGAATAGGAACAAAATCACATATTGTAAAATTATAATGCTGCTTATTCAGGCACACTTGGATAATGTAAAAAAAAAATAGTACTTAAGTCATTTTTAGGAAGCTTTGTTATCTGGATAATATTTGTAATACCCTTAACATATATGACAGAGGAGCACATATATCAGAGATGTGAAAACAATCCTGTTCAGTGATGTAATTGTACAATCCTCTCCTATATGAAATGTAGTTTTATGCTTAAAGCGGCGTAGCTAAAGCCAAAACTTTTTAAAATTGTGGATATAGTAGGGAATGGTTAAAACTAGGGATGTACTGATACTGGTATTGGTATCAGTGCCGATACTAAGTATTTAGGTGAGTACTCACACACGAGTACTTACCCTAATACCGGAACTCCAGTGCCTCAAGGGAGCACGGCACTGGCTTCTTGGCCAATCAGGAAGCCTACTTTACTTGCTGCTAGGCAGCCTGCCTTCCTGATTGGCTAGGAAGCCGGGTGGCACACCAGGACACGCTTCCCTGCTTCCTGATTGACTAGGAAGCGGGCTTCACTTATTGCTAGCAGCCTGGCTTCCTGACCCAGCAGGAAGCTGGGTGGCACATCATGACCCACCTCCCTGCTTCCTGATTGGCTAGGAAGCCGGCTTCACTTGTTGCTATCAGCCTGACCAATCAGGAAGCTGGGCAGCATGTTATGACCCAACTCCCGGCTTCCTGATTGGCTTGGAAGCTGGTTTAACTTGTTGCTAGGCAGCCTGGCTTTCTGACCAATCAGCACTTGCCACCTGGCTTCCTGATTGGTCAGAAAGCCAGGCTGCCGCGGCACATGAAGCCAGTGTTCTTTTCATAGAACACCAGCTTCCTCTGATAAGCCAGGCCAGCTGTACCCTGGGATGTCGGTATCGATATTGGCAAATACCAAAAAAATACTTTCTACAGCTCTGCCACACAGCACAGTCCTTTCTGGCAGGAGAGAGAATCTGACCTTTCTCTGCTGCAGTTTTATTTCCACTGGATAGTAAAAGGAGAATCAGATCAACTCATCTCTCTGTTAGACTGCCTCTATTTTAATCAGCATGTTCCTTTCTTTAACACACACCTTTTTCAGTTCTGTGTGCTGTTTCTCCATCCCCCTCTCAAAGCTCTGCTGCACACATTTCAATTTCCCCTCGGGTCTAAGTACAAACACGTGCACACACACAAACACACACACCTTTCTTTTTTTTCACTGGCCTGTTTAATTAAACAAGCAATACAAGAATTATTGAAGCAAAATATACCGTATTTTGCGGTCTATAAGACGCTCCGGACGATAGGACGCATGGCTTCTGTGACACAAATTCTATGACAGAAATTCTGTCACAGAAGCTGCAGTTAGTGACTGCTGAGACAGGTGGCGCTGTCTCAGTAATCACACAGAGCAGACGAAGAACGTCGTTCTTCGTCTGCTCAATGGGCTCTATGGTGAGCTCCTATGGGGGATCGTGACGGGTCACAGTCCCGCAGAGGTACGGGGGACCCGGAAAACCTCGGCAGGGGGCGGACACTATCGCCGATGCCGCTCGATTTAATACAAGGGATCTACTTAGATCGCTTGTATTAA